CAGACTGTGCTTCAGTGCTTCAGACTGATCTAAGTGGCTTCGATTTAAAAAGAACAGAAAGGTCCTCTAGTAAATGAAATTATGCTTCTAGTACTAAATCCAAAGAATGCGTACTGACCAACCATGGAAATCGCTACAAAATAATTTAATAAACTTGATCCCGTGAAAAGCCGTAGTCTGAAGCTCATCAAGGAAAGAATATGAGAAACTTAACAGTCGCGCATATGATCAATTTCAGCGAATAATATACACTAACAACTGATTACAAAACTGGCCAAGTAATAAAATGCTCTTTCTCCCCACCAGATATGAACCAAATTCTGACTAGCATCACCTTCAGCCAAGGTAAAGTATCTGATTAATTTTAATCCAAATCTGTGTAGCCGTTCATGCGATGACGGTTAAAACCTTAAATGATTCCGGTTTCCTAGTGTTTAAAATGTCTATTTTCTATAAAATTCTTGAAATTAAATTCTAGCATTAATTATTCCAGTATTACTTTTTTTTGCTTTATAAATTGAGATGTTAGAAAACTATTAATTATGTATATTTTTGCCCAGCCTCCCAGTTGATGGGTCATTGTACTGACTGGTTTTGTACAAGTTGATTTGCTGATGTTGGTAGCGGTGACAGTTTCTTAAGACGCTAGACCTCCAACCCGTCCTCTTGATTTGCCACTCCATAAAAAAAATCCAACCTCCAAACCTTGCCAGAAACGTACGAACTCAAGCAACCTATTGAGTCCGATGCGTAGAAAATGTAAATCTTTGTAAGCTTTTACTTCTCATTGTAGGATGCATTTGTAACATTGATCACCATACCGTAAAAAACGCGATCTATTTCGTTGTAAAAAACGCGGCCTTTTTCATTGTAAACAAAAACGCGGCCTTTTTCATTGTAAACAAAAACGCGGCCTTTTTCATTGTAAATAAAAACGCGGCCTTTTTCATTGTAAACAAAAAAGCGGCCTATTTCGTTATCAGTATCAATAGTGTTTAGCTTTATTGCTCTCAATACTTTTTATATTTTCCTGCGATACTTGGCAACAATTCAAATGACAATGGAAAACTAATTTTCGTTATATTTGTGTATTATATAAACCGTTTCATAATAATAACGAAAATTCAATTTAGGAAAAGCGTGTATTGGTATAGAATCCTCATAATTGTATATTTATCTAAGGAAATATTCTATCGCGCTATATGTCTTATTTAATATTTTGTTTTACAAAAATATTACCAAAGGTTTACATGTGTAATATGGATCACATTAAAAAACTTAAGATCAGAAACTAAAGTTAATTTTATTTATATCAGTACAAAAATAGTTATAAAATGTTAAGTGTTCTTATTTAGAAGCATTTCCGGTGAACAATGCCTGGGCCAGATTCGTCGTACTCTTCTTTTGACACCCACATGGACTGGAAGGTGGAGAGAGAGGCCAGGATGGAGCCACCGATCCAGACGGAGTACTTACGCTCAGGAGGGGCAATGATCTTGATCTTGATGCTCGAAGGAGCCAGAGCTGTGATTTCCTTCTGCATGCGGTCAGCAATACCAGGATACATGGTGGTACCACCAGACATGACAATGTTGGCAAACAGGTCTTTTCTGATGTCAATGTCGCACCTCATGATCCCATGGTAAACAGTTTCATGAATTCCTGCACATTCCATACCTAAAAGAGAAGGCTGGAAGAGAGCTTCAGGAGCACGGAAACGTTCGTTGCCAATGGTGATGATCTGGCCATCGGGAAGCTCGTAGGATTTGTCCAACGAAGAGGAAGCAGCAGCTACGTTCATTTCACTGTCGAAGTCTAGAGCGATGTAACAGAGCTTTTCTTTGATATCTCGGACAATCTCACGCTCTGCACTTGTGGTGAAAGAGTAGCCACGCTCAGTCATGATCTTCATGAGATACATGGTGAGGTCGCGACCAGCTAGATCAAGTCTGAGCATAGCATGTGGAAGGGCGTACCCTTCGAATACTGGTACGTTGTGGCTTACTCCGTCTCCCGAGTCACTGACCATACCTGTGGTACGACCAGAGGCGTACAGGGACATGACAGCCTGTATAGCCACGTACATTGCTGGCATACCGAAGGTCTCAAACATGATCTGTGTCATCTTCTCACGGTTGGCTTTGGGGTTGAGGGGAGCCTCCGTCAACAGTGTTGGGGACTCCTCAGGGGCAACACGGAGCTCGTTGTAGAAGGTGTGATGCCAGACCTTTTCCATGTCGTCCCAGTTGGTGATGATGCCGTGCTCTACAGGGTACTTGAGAGTCAGGATACCTCTCTTGCTCTGGGCCTCATCACCGACGTAGGCGTCCTTCTGACCCATACCGACCATCACACCCTGGTGACGAGCTCGGCCGACGATGGAGGGGAAGACAGAGCGGGGAGCGTCGTCACCGGCAAAGCCGGCCTTGACCATGCCGGAGCCATTGTCGCAGACGAGTGCTACCTGATCCTCGTCGTCACACATGGTGCTTGTTTTGAAGAGCTCTGAAATATATTTATATAAAATCAGAATCAGACGTCATTAACAAAATATCAAAATGATTATTTACAGATTACTCGTGTTATAACCGCCTATGTATTCGAAAGGACACTCTCATGATGTAAAGTTTTAAAATATTTGCTAGAAATATGTTACAAACCATTATATTTAATAACGTGTGTTAAGTATAGAGTTTAGGAAGTGGGAGTTTAATAAACGATTAATGAAGATCAAATATGAGAATTAAGTATGTAGTGGTTGATGAGAGGAACAGCTCACCTGGCTAGCGTGGTGAAGCCGTGGGCTACTAAGGTGTCTTGGATACAACCTGCCCTTTTATACGGCTCCTGATGACCCTCGTGGGTTGGCGCCAAGTGCAGCCCTTCCTGCCCGACTTCTTGGAACAGTCACTATGTAACTCAAGGGACAGGCAAACGTACACGTTATTGTCAGTGGGTGGTTCATATCAGTGGGGCTTGCTAATTGCTTCACGGTATCTTCTGAATAGGCTACGATCCGCTTGAGAATATTACACAAAGTGAAGAGTTTGGCCCAGTTCCTTATAGTGGTGACGACGCTGGAGTTTAGCCAAGGAACTCGGTCGTGAGTTCAGCCACCTCAGTAAGAGGGGATGCTGCTTGTTACGATACTGCTGAGTTCAGCCGCCTCGGTTTTAACAACGGTCACTCGTTGTTTATACTCGTTCGTGTCCAGTATATTTAAAGTAATTAATAGGTGAATGAATTGTGACATTGTATATATTCCTTGAGTGTAGCAACGTTTCTGATACTGTGCATCAGGAGTTTCAATAGAAATTGTAACAGGGAGTATCCTTAGTTGGACTAGCGCTTGGATATTTGAAAAGGAACTCAGAATTAAAGGAAAATTAATTGAAATGTAAATTCACCACGGCTCTGTCCTGGGACTTGCGGCCCACCGCCTTGCTGCACCAATCCTCATCAAATACTATATAGGTATATTTGGGCCAGGTGGTGGCTGACAGCTTCGGCCAGAATGGCCTGCTCTGCCAAAGTATAGGAAGATGGCACTCGAGGCATATTAGAGTTACCATCATCATCAAGAGGAGCCTCACTACAGCTGGATTCCCAGCTGAGAGACAACCCCGTTACCTAACGCCCTGTAACTCTGATGTTCTTATTGGTCGCGCAGATGGGATCACAGTGAACCCCTGCAAGAACGGCAAACAGTTGGTGCGGGACTATATATGTGTACCAACCCTGGTTAACCCCTATATTGACTTCAGTGTTGCACATCCAGGTGACGCTGCCACTCACAGGGAATCAGCCAAGTCCTATAAGTACAGAGAACTGGATCACCACTACAGCTTTGTCCCCCACTGCGTCCCAGACACTTGGCTCCTGGGGTAAGAGTGCCAACATCATTTTATATATATAGCTTGATAATGCCCGAGGCGTCGTTATCAAGCTATATATATAAAGTTATCAACTTATCAAGGTCTCATATATATATATATATATATATATATATATATATATATATATATATATATATATATATATATATATATATATATATTGATTCAACTACTGGTAAAATTCAGACAAGATGACAAGTAGCCCCTTCGGGAGATATAATATAGCGTAGGTTTTTCAGGATGCAAGACTAATAGAGAATACTTTTTCATCTCACAGCCAATACCACTCCTGATAAAATATGTAACTCTTATATTACTAACCAGACAGCACATCCAAGAGCCGATTCTTTCACACGGTTGCTACACGAACCAGTGCTCAGCTGAGAAGGAGGGATCTCGAATAATACACGGCTGGTTAAATTGTCATTGTTAAATTGGATATATCGTTAAGTTAGGCTGGATTAAGGTGTGCAAATTAGGTTAGGTAAAGTTTAATTAGGCTAGGCTAGAAAGTTTTAATATGAAAATGTTAGCGAAGTGGCTTGACTGGGCTATTCCCGTTGACGTCACACTCATAATGTCTAATATCTGAGGAATCAAGATTGAGTTTTGTGCTGCTTTGCCTAAGCCATCATTATTGCGTTATGTTTGTATTAGGAGGTATCTATATGAAAACTATTCCAAAGACTTTATTCTGTGCAACGAGCAAGTTATTTATGATTTATGTCATGAGATCATTACTACCTTGTATGTGACGTTCTTATGTGCTGGAAAGTTGTCACAGGAAATTATTTATCATCTTGTGGGTTTCAGAGTATAAGAAGCTAATTGAAGTGAAGGTTCTTAGTGTAGGGTTCAGCCAGTTGTTTTGTCTGACACTGATGGTACAACGTGTTCTAATAGCACGTCGCATTTTGACGTATACTCTACCTAAGGCCAAAAATCGTCGTACTAGAAAATGAATTGACTCGCGAAATTGACATACTGTCCCGTTTTGGGTCCTCTTGTAGGTTAGAAAAAGGGCACTTTAGTACGACAGTTTCTTGACGTTGGGAAACCTTAGACGGACGGGGTGGAGTGTGAGGTATGCAAGTGTGGTTCAGTCGCACCTCTACAGCTCCTGTAGTACGTCTGGTTGACAGTGGGACCGGCGCGTCAGTCCTCCCACACTCTTCGGGTGACATAACAGAGGACTCACAAAGTGTTAATTAACAAAGTGTTGCTGTTTCCTGAGTAGGTGCAGTCTCGTTCTTCTTGGCGATGCGCGTGTGGGACACTTGCATACTTCTCTCTAGTATGCTGCTAATCTTAAGTCTTCTTCTATGTTGATTATTCTTGGGACATCTTGAAGAAACAATAATTGCTCTTATGGTTTAATTTTGTATTATTGGTGATAATCACATAGGGGCTTTAGCAAGCATCATGTGATATTGTCTGGTATATTTAACATGGTTTACAATACTCCTATAAGTGAGTGTCTTTAGGGTTTAAGTCTTTATCTGAGTCTAGTGTGTCCACTGTTTACCATGTTACTGTTAGTACTTACTCCCAGGTATTTATATTGTCCTCAGGTTTCACTATTTTGATTACTGACGATGAAAACTAAAGGGCCATCAGTTATCTTGTGGGCACAAAGAGTTTTTAATAAAGATATAATAAAAGACGTTAAGCGTTTCTAACATCTAGTTGCAAGATAAATAAGTAGAGCCTGACATAGCATACTCTCATAAACCCAATGTACCTTCTTGTATCTAAATAAATAAATAAATAAATGTTCTGATATTTCCAACAATGTATTTCACATCTGCGTTACGGATGAAAGCCTCATAAGCTTGTGTAGGCATAGTAATTATTTATATAGATCTGTAATGTATCTAACCAGTCCGTTCTCTTGATTTGTAACTGTGACAAACAATTAAACTGTTTTGTCGAACCAGAAGCGTCGCATTTTTAACGGGTTAGTCAATTCTTAGAAAGAAAACAGTTTAACCTGCTAACGTAGCCTCAAATGTACAAACTCAAGCAACGCAACTAACCTATCGAAGCCCTGTATATAAAACGATAATACTATGATACTTTAATTTATACTAATACGTCATATTTTCAACAGATTACTAGATTCGTTAACAAAAATTCGGCGTATTAGAGAAGATGAATTGATGTTAACAGCATGCAGCACACATGACATGATGATAACCGGTGATGAGACGTGATGATTTGATCATTCCTCTTCGTATATACTTTTTTTTTAATTAATTACATGTTCTATGACAGGAACAAAAGTTAGGAAGAAATAGCATTGTTTCAACACAAGGAATGCTTGGTAAATCCTGTCTTGTACACTCGTGATAAACTGTGACACACTTAGTCTATTAGACCGTGACACACCTCGTGATAGACTGTGACACCTCGTCTGGTAGACTGACACACCTCGTCTGATAGACTGTGGCACCTCGTCTGATAGACTGACACACCTCGTGTTATACTGTGAGACATATTGTCTGATAGTCTGTGACACATTTCGTCTAATAGACTGTGACACACAAAGTTTGATAGACTGTGTGCTCGTGGCTTCTTACAAGTTAAATATTAGTTCCTTACTTTCAGTCTTATAGATACAAGACTGTTCCTCGACTCTGTGAATGTCACAACAAGAGACAAGGAAGTAACTTAAGATACAAACTTTATACAAAATACAACTAGAAATAAACGAAACTATAATTACTCCTGAGCATTATACGCAGAATTGCAACGTTGCAATAAACAGTTTCAACAATAAGATAACACCAGACCTGGTTGTTTTTGTTGCAAATTCCTGTTACCTTCGGACACAGGTGTTGTCAAGTCTCACTAGATATCCGTTAGAATAAACTGTGGTGGGGGTGTTGAAGTGTGGGGGTGAAGCACAGGGAGGGTATGTGTGGGGGTGAAGCACAGGGAGGGTATGTGTGGGGGTGAAGCACAGGGTGGGGATGTGTGTGGGTGATGACGTATGGGCGTGAAGCACAAGATGGGGGGGTGCGTAGGGGGTAACAAAGTGTGGGAGTGTAACACAAGGTGGGGGTATGTGGGGGCGTTAAGTGTGGAGGTGGGGCACAACATGGGGCATGTGAGGGCAGTGGGGAGACGGAGGTCTCTCTGACCACATAAGGTCCAGCCACTCTGCGCACGTCCACTTGGCTGCTGTTCAACACAAAATTACTCTCATTCGACTGTTTTCGTTTCTGTTGAAATGGCCGTTGCGCTGCGGGCATCTCAGCCCTGGTCATACTGTGTATAAATAAGATGTGATCTCCCTGGCAGGGATACATGTGTGATATGGAAATGTTTCTTGTGCTTTGTCCTATTGCAAATAGGTTTCGTGGCACCAGTGGGCTCGTATCGTGAAGATTATTATCCCTCAGTCATATTTGCTAACAATCAAGCTCTTCAGCGAACTAGCTAACGGCCAGCCTCACCAAGAAAATAGCTAACTACCAATCTCTCCCACAAGCTAGCTAAAGACCAATCTCTCCAACAAGCTAGCTAACTACCAATCTCTCCCACAAACTAACGTCCATTCTCTCCAACAAACTAGCTAACCATCAATCACTCCAACAAACTA